CGGACGGACGGGGACGGCGGACGGGCGGGCGGACGGGACGGGCGGACGCGGGCGGGGCGGCGGACGGGACGGGGCGGGGCGGACGGGGACGCGGCGGACGGGACGGGACGGGGCGGGGCGGACGGGAGGGCGGACGGGGCGGGGCGGACGGGACGCGACGGGCGGGGCGGACGGGACGGGGCGGGGCGGACGGACGGGGCGGGGACGGGGCGGGGCGGACGGGAGGGCGGGCCGCCAGGCGCTGGTGCAGCGCCCGTCCGGAGGTGTGGCGGTCCGCACGCGGCGCCGCTGTGCTCAGAGTCGCGTCAGCTGGCGTCACGTCACGCCGGTGGCCGGATGAGTGCTTCCTGTGCAGAGCTCGGCTCGGCTCTGTATTGCAGGTGATTCGGACCATGACCAGCAGCGGTATTTGGTGGTTTCGGTCGAATGCTGCAGCGACTGCTCTCATAACTCACAGTACATTTAGGCTGTAAAATCATGTCAAGGGTTACAGCCCCGATTCAAGACCACTGCCCTCCATCTGGAATTCATTCGAACAGCTTCGACTTCGACCGTAGCGGAACGGGATGTAGGTAGCGGTCTGCGGGTGCCTCGGGGGCTTGCCCGGTCGTTTCTCGGAGCGCCAGGAACACGGTGCCAATCAGCGGTTCATGTTGCCGTGCCGGCTCGCGAGCCCAGCTGGGACGTGATCCGTGTTTACGGCCGACTCAGAGCGGGCTGCCCCGCGCGGGAGGTCGTCTGCGAGGACAGGGCGAGGGCGGCGCGCCCGGCCGGCTCCCGTTTCGGGAACGCCACACCAACGACGCAGTCCGGGGATGCCCGCCTCGGGCCGCGGCCGTGACGCCCGCTGGCTGTCCTTCCGCCGGCGCAGCGGCGGCGTTTGTTGGGGTGAGCGGCGCGGCCGATACAGCACTGCCACAGCACCGCAGACCCCGAGGTCAGGTCAGGTCAGGGTAGAGCATGGCAGAGCGTGGCATGTACGACCCGTCAGTCCGCCGACTTCAGTTCGTACAGCTGCGGTCGCCACGTGATTCCTGGGGCGCGGGGGCAGCATCTCTCCATGGCCACGCCCTTCCGCCCCGGGTGGAGCTGGGGCATTCCGGCGATGTCGGCCACCCCAGCTCCATATCGCGCTCCATCATCACCCCTCGTCCCGCGGCCGCACCGCCTCGCGCCCGTCCTCCATCCGGGCCCAGGTTGGTGGCCGGGTAGCGGCGTGCGACCGAAGGCGCCGGCCCGGTACGGCGGCGGCGGCCACGTCGGCCGGCCGCATGGTCCCTGGCGTGCGAACGCCGCCGCCGCTGACGGCCAGTAGTGACGCCCGAGCACGCTATGGCCGGCAGGGGGCGGCACGTGAGTCGCCCGATGAGACGGCGCCGCGGCGCGACCGGCGGCGGCCGGCCGCTCCCTAACTGAGTCAGCGCAGGTCGGTCGGGCGTCGGCGCGGCCCGAGTGTACCGAGCCGCGGGGCGGACATTCCCGAGGCGGGGTGGTGGGACGGAGACGTCCCGGCACGGACGATGGGACGGGCACCTCGCGCCGGGACTACACCGCCGACGTCCCAGACGGGACGATGTCGCAGCCAGCCGGTAACGGGACGACCGATGGTCCGGTCGTGATTTCGATTATGCGAACGGCATCAAGGGCTCGCACCGTTATGCAACGGCGTCCGGTTTTCCTCGCGCGCCTGGCGTGCCGGTGACTTGATGTGCGCTCCACTGACCACCTGTCTGTCTCTCACAGGTGCTGGGATGTGTGCCGTCGTCCGCGGGTCGAACCGTCTCACCGGCCGCGTAGGGTGCCCGAGCCGCCATGAGGCTGCCGCTGGCGCTTCCGCTGGCCGCGCTGCTCGCCAGCTGCGGCGCGGCGGCGGCGACGCGGCGCAGCTACCGCTCTGCGACCACCAGGCCGCCTGCTACTGCGAGACCATCCCGGGCGGCTCGTTCAACCTCTTCTGTCGGCTGCCGGTGCAGTTCACGTACCGCGTGACCTACGTCGCGCCGACGGCGGCGTCGGGCGCCTCGCTCATCATCTGGTGCGACCCGCTCACCATGCGGCGCGAGCATTACCAGCTGCTCTACAGCTACAACATGACGCTGGGCCCGGTGGAGAAGGTGGTGTTCAACCTGTGCCCACTGCCGACCGGCCGGCTGGTCGCCTTCTTCGAGCGGCTGGGCGTGAGCGGCACGCAACGACTGCGCGTCAACTCGCACGACATGCTCAACGACACGATGCCCGCCGACTTCCTGCACGGCAGCAACGCCACCAGCGTGCAGCTCAACGGTCTGACGCGCATCGACATCCACGACGACTTCCTGGCCACGCTGGGGCACTTGCAGAACCTAACGCTAAGCGGCACGGCGCTGACGCTGCCGAGCGCGCTGTTCCAGCACACGCCGCGCCTCGGCCAGCTGGGGCTCGCCGGCAACCAGCTGCGGGAGCTGCCCGAGCAGCTGCTGGACGGGCGGACGCAGCTGCCGCCTGCTCAGCCTGGGCAACAACCTGCTGCGCCAGCGCAGCCGGCGACACTTCCGCGACCTGGGTCAGCTGGAGATGCTGGATCTGTACCGCAACGAGCTCGAGAACTGCCCGAGGACGCGCTGACGTCGCTGTCGCGCCTGCAATCGCTGCGCCTGCAGTACAACCCGCTGCAGCGGTTGCCGGAGGGGCTGTTCGCCGGCGCGCCTAGTCTGCGGGCTGCTGCACCTCAACGGCGGCAGCTCGTCCGTCGGCAACCTGACCACGCTGCCGGCCGGCCTGTTCCGCGGCCTCCGACGGCTCGAGATGCTGATGCTGGACAGGCTCAACGTGCGCCAACTGCCGGCCGGCCTGTTCGCCGACCTTAAGTCGTTGACCATCTCACGCTTGACAACAACATGCTGGAGGCGCTGCCGGAGGGCGTCTTCGCCGGCCTGACCGCACTGCAAAACCTGGACCTGCGCGCTAACCAGTTGACGACGCTGCCGGCCGGACTGCTGCGCGAAGTGCCGCGGCTCGACACCCTGTACCTCAGCCGCAACCGGCTGGCGGCGCTGCCGGACGGGCTGTTCGCGGCGACGCCGCGCATGGAGCGCCTCTTCCTCGGCAGCAACGACCTGAGCAACGTCAGCACGGCCACCTTCAGCGGCCTGGGCACCAGCCTGCGGTTGCTGCGGCTCGACCGCAACCGGCTGGCGTTCGACCGGCGTTCGCCGCGGCCGCCCGCCTTCCAGGAGCTGGCCGAGCTGCGCGACCTCACGCTGGCCCACAACCGGATCGACCACATCACGCAGGACCTGCTGGTCAACCTGGTGCACCTTCGCCGGCTGGACCTGCGCCGGAACCTGCTGCAATCGGCTTGACGTTCGATGACCTCAACTTCTTGTGCAACGAGGGCCGAGATCGACCTGCGCTCCAACAACATCTCCACCATCTCGTTTCCGCTGGCCACCATGAAGGTGGACGGCAACGACCACCGCAAGCCAAACGCCATCAACGTCAACGACAACCCGCTGCTGTGCGACTGCCAGCTGCTGTCGTTGCGCGCCTACCTGGACGGCACGGGCACGTTCGCGCGCCGCGCCGAGCTGGACGAGCTCTTCCAGCTGGTGACGGACGGCCTGGCCTGCGCGCGGCCGGCGCCGCTGGCCGGCCAGCCGTTCGCCGCGCTGCACGCCGACCAGCTGCTGTGCCCGCTGGAGGCCGACTGCCCGGCAGGCTGCGCGTGCCAGCAGCAGAGCAGCCAGCAGACGGTGCTGGTGACGTGCGGGGCGCGGCCGGCGGGCGCCGCGCTGCCCACGCGGCTGCCGCGCGTCCGTCGCTTCGGCGTCAGCCTGCACCTGGAGGGCACGGCGCTGCAGCGGCTGACCAACCTGTCCGCCACCACGGCGCCCGTCACGGAGCTCCACCTCAGCGGCAACAACCTGACGACCGTCGAGCCGAGCGCGCTGCCGCCGGCGCTGCGCCTGCTGCGGCCTCGACCACAACCACCTGAGCACCGTCTCGCCGCAGCTGGTGGCCTACCTGGAGCGGAGCGGCGTGCGGGTGGCGCTCGGCGCCAACCCGTCGTGTGCGACTGCGCGATGCTGCCGCTGCACCGGCTGATGCAGCGCCTGGTCAGCAACGGGTCGCGCCAGGTGCTCGACGCCAGCGACGTGTTCTGCGTGGGCCACAACAGCTCGCTGCTGGCGCTGAAGCCCGAGGAGGTGTGTCCGTGGCGACAAGCCACACTGATAGCCGTGTGCGTCGCGGCGACGGCGCTCGCCATGTGCCTGCTGGTGATCGCCGTGCTCTACTACCACTACAGCGACACCATCAAGGTGTGGCTGTACGCGCACAACCTGTGCATGCGCTTCGTCACCGAGGAGGAGCTGGACACGGACAAGAAGTACGACGCGTTCGTCAGCTACTCGCACCTGGACGAGGAGTTCGTGGTGGAGCACCTGGTGCCGCAGCTGGAGCAGGGCGAGCCCAAGTACTCGCTGTGCCTGCACTTCCGCGACTGGCTGGCCGGCGAGTGGATCACTGACCAGATTCAGCAGTCTGTGCAGAGCTCGCGGCGCGTGATCGTCGTCATGTCGCAGAACTTCCTTCGCAGCGAGTGGGGCCGGCTGGAGTTCCTCACGGCGCACAAGCAGGCGCTCAACGAGAAGCGTAACCGCCTGATCGTGCTGGTGTACGGCGAGCTGCCCGACCCGGCCGCCATGGACCCCGAGCTGCGGCTCTACATCAGTAGCAACACGTACCTCAAGTGGGGCGACGCGCTGTTCTGGGAGCGCCTCCGGTACGCGCTGCCGCACAAGGGGCGCCGGCTGAGGCGGCGCCGAGGCCGGCGCCGACTCACTTCCGACAAGCTCGGCCTCATCATCCGCGAGAACGGCCTCAGCTCGGCCGGCTCGACGCCCACCACCGAGATGCCGGCCACGCCCGGCGGCGGCGGTCACGCCAACGGCTGCTTCGTCGGCGACAAACTGGCGCCCATCGTCGAGAGCATTCAGCGCGAGCAGTTCGGCGATCACGTGGTTTAATCGGTGATCACGTGGTTTAATCGCCACGTCGCGACGGAGAACGGAGGACGCTTGTGCGATGCTACCGCGCGCCAGAAGTTCCAGTATCTCTCGCAGTATCCTTCGCACGCCGCATTCGCTCCCGCCATCCCGCAGGCTTGACATGTTCGGGTGCGGAGCACCGCCATGCCGGCGCCGGCCGACCCAGCTCGACACGGCAGCCGCGCTGGAGCGCACTCTCCGAAGCGCCGCACATGCCGTGCGCGCCGATCGGAGCGAGTCACGCGAGTGGGAGCGGCGCCGGCCGCGGTCGGCGACGCCGGATGTGTGGACGTGCGCGGTCGGCGGTGTGAGGACGTGTGGACGTGCGCGACCGGCGTACGTGACGCGCCAGCGGCGCCCGGCGGACGCCCGCTCTGCGGATCGTCCGGCGGTGTGTGGTCGGGTTGGCCGACGCGTGCGAGCGGCGGCCGGCCGACACCGGACTAGCGACCGGCCGACGGATGTCGCTGCCCGCGGCGCGTGGCGTCGGCGCGTCCGATGATGGCGACGATCATGCTAGGCTGTGACACGAGTACGACAAAGTAGATGATCAGACAGGCCGGTAGGGAGGCGCCCGGCGCGGTGGAGCGCCGCCGCCGACAGGCAGGCCGGTCGGCGCTGCTCAGAGGCCGCAGTGCCGCCCCGGCCGCACTTGTGGGGAGCGCGGTTCATGTTTGTCGCCCCACTGCCTCCCGTTATCGCTGCACCGTTCCGCTCGTGCTGTGGTCCGCGTCGTCATCTGGTTTTGCAGAGCCGCGTAGTGTCCGCGCTTCCTTCGGGTGGGTACAATAGGCGGGCGGCGCCGCGCGCGCCGCCTGGTGTACAAAGCGTTCAGTCTAGGGACGCCGGGCGCTCATCGTCTGCAGGCGCTGTCCCCCATCAGGGTTGTTGCATTCCCGACAGCGTCTCAGCATCTCAGTGTTTCAGCAGCGATCGATATGATTATGTTGCAATACATGTTGTCAAGAGCTTCTGCTATCATCTCTCAGGCAATTGACTTACAACATTCACGATAACAAGCACAGATAGCAAGCCCCAATACGTGCCGACCAGCACGCCGGCAGCAGCGGCCGCTCACGTTCGGTAATCATGTGTGGGGACGCGTGACTCCACAGCCGGAGTTATCGGTTCACCACAAGCCTTCCAGACAATGGGAAACTTATTCAGAAAAAACTTGGGCTGGATGATGCAACTTTGTTTTGATCCCGACGTTCAAATCAATAAAATCATCTTCCGCACATGCAGCACAACTCGGCTGTCCAGGTTCATAGCGGTCCAGGTATTTGTACCTAGAGGAGTTATGTGGGAGGAATTTGGTGTCCAAATGGGCTGCGCATGTGTAGATGTACCCATTGTAATGCTTTGTGGCGGGCCTCGTGCCGTGCACCCCTGTCAACCGACACCACAGCCACGCGGTTCACAAGAGCGGTCACGTGGCGCGTCATGAACCGGCAGAACCGCGACCCGCACTGGCCCGGGGGGCTTCCTTCTGCGAGGCGGCGAACTGCGAGGCGTCAGCAGCAGCCATCGCCCTCTTCGCCCGCTTCCGCACCGTCACCGGCCTAAGACAATAGCACCCGACCGGCGCGACCCTGGTGGTGACTAACTACACATGCGGGGAGAACGCTGGAGTGCGGGTTGGCGCACCACGGCAGCAGGCTCGTCAGCTGCTGCTGTATCTGTGGTTAGCTTGTTTAGCCCGTATGTGTTATGTCCTCGATGCGACATGCAGCATAAATGGAACTGTGTTCTCCATGCATGCCAATGGCCCCGTTACGGTAGACATAGCGGTGCAATGCCACTATGTGCGGATTCTCCATTCTGTATTTTGCTATGAACCTTAAGTCTCCACCACCCAGATCGTTTGATTTGTCATGTGCCTCAACAGATTGAGGTTGCTGCGTGAAACTTGACAGACACTGTATAGCTGAAAACGGCGGCACTCAGCACGCTAGTGGCGTGTTTGGTTGGCAGATAATCTCGGAAAATCACCTGGAATATCGGAAAAACTTCCGGAATGGTGCTCGGCACTGCCAACCCGGAAAATCATCACAGATTATCCGCACCGGGAGAATTCCGGAAAGTTTTCAAAGCACGGCCGAGGCGGAGAATCTTTTTTCACTATGCATAGTCGTCGACCGTCCGCTGTGCATGGCGTATGGGAGACGAAACTGGGGGACAATTTCTGGACCTGCCGAACACAAATGCAGAATCGCCGTGGATGATTATCGGAGAGATTATTACTCGCTGAATAATTTTCCCTAGGCCGAACGCCCAAAGATCTAAGATCTTCACGTTGGCAAATGGCTCCTTGTGCGCAGAACTTATGTTATGTTATGATAGGAAAATTATGGGACCAGCAACCCCATATGTGCCAACATCTAAATGCGAACATGACTGACTTTCAACTTAGAGACGAGGGGGGAGGAAAGGACTGTCGAATTTTGTTGAAAACTGATAAACTTTTCATAGACCTCGCCTGCAAGTCAAAGGCCAAGAATATTTGTATCTAAATTTATGCACATAAGGCAGCACTGGTCACAAAATTGGGCCATCTTGACCCTCCTGTAACGTGAAAGGCGTTTCTCTGTTAAAGACTTCTTGTCGAGACAAAATAAGACAATTTCCTTAAAGGCCTGACACCAACCACTTAAACCCTCGACAACAACGGCACACGGCACAGCCAGCACAGACGATGGGAAGCGAAAAAAGGTCATGGTCCTAGGGGCGGCATCTCTCGGCCGCCCATCTAAGCGCCTGCACCTGACCAGGCTGAGCCGGCATGACAGGTTAGAGTGGCCCGGAAGCCACGCAATCAGGTCACCTTGAGTTGACCAGAGGCCTAAGAGGCTTTCAACCGAAGAACGCTGCAGATCCCTTGCAGATAACTGTTCGGTAATCGGGTGGACCAAAAAAAGCTATGAAAAATACTAGGAACGTCGGAGGAACCTTCAAAGGGAGACCAATGTTATTAAAACAACCGGAACCATTGGCGTGGGTCGCGGATTTACCTTACCTTTTAACCTTATCAGAAAGGCATGGACAATAGGGCATCCGGAGACCTTTAGCACTTGCATCATAAGGTCCGCATTACCAACACCGCTGGTGATTTATCACCCGGTCTGTATAAGCCTAGTGGCTGTTCAAACGCATTCTGAAGCGTCACCCAACTTCTGCCCCACACAACTATGTGACGAGTTGATAGGACCGCGCTGGGAATGCAGGCCGAGGCCGGGCCTGTGCCCGCACCGCCTGGATCCGCTCATGTCATGGCCCGAGCCAAGGCGCCCTGTCTTAACTCCACGCCCACCCCATCCCCAGCCAAGGCGCCCTGTCTTAAACCCACGCCCACCCCATCCCCAGCCAAGGCGCCCTGTCTTAACCCCACGCCCACCCCATACCAACGACGTGCCCCGCGACCGACCGCCGGCCGGCGGACTGACCTGCGTGACCTCGGGAGTGCCGCGACCCCCGACCGGGGTCGCACGACAGCCGTACGGTGGCGGTGCGCCGGGCCGGCCCGTCACCTGGGGCGGGACGCGGGGTCAGTGCGGCGGGTCACGGCGTCAGCGCGCTGGGACGCGGGGTCGGCGCTGGGGGTCACAGGGGGTCAGCGTGGCTGGCCACGGCGTTAGCGTGCTGAGGCGCGGGGTCAGCGTGGCAGCTCGAGGCACCGCCCGCCCACGGCCGGCCGTCAGCACACAGGTGTGGTCGCGGCCAACGTCAGCGACACACCTGTCCGGGGGGAGGGGGAGGGGGAGGGGGTGGGGTAGACAAGGAGGAGCCGGCAAAAGAGGCCAGTGGACAGACGGCCGCGGTGGGTATTGAGAGCACCCACGGAGGTCAGACGGGGCGCCGCTGAACAGAGCGTCGTGGTCGAACACCGTTCAAATATGGTGCGAATAGCATCTGGACAGTGCGGCATTTGCCAGGGGTAAAGTTTCAAAAAAAGTGCAATAGGGGACTGAGCGGCGACAAACTTATGAGCTCACCCTGAAAACACAGGAAAAAAGGTGTTTCTCTCCGCATTTGATCGACGGTCTTCTCACAGTTAAAAGGGCCAGAGCCCCATTTCCAACTGAATCGGAAACTATGCATCGGCACTAACATGGCACGCAAACATGAGCACGCACGCACGCACACACACGAACACACAACACACCTTTGGTAAGCGAACAGGACACATGGCGCCGTGGGTGAGTTCTGAGGTTACCTGTCGCCGTCGTCATTGGGGCTTTACGACCCACCCACCTGCTGAAGCTATATGGCGTCGCCTGTCTTTCATCGTAGCAAGCAGGGCTCGCACCGCGCGGGATCGAACCCCGTGCCTCTGGTTTCCCAGACTCGCAGTGGTTCTGAGGTTACCCGATGCAGATTGTGTTTGCCACTAGCCAGTCTAATGCAGCCATGATGTGTCAGATGGCATTTTACCATGCTGGCATACGTCAGTCGAGCACATCGCTTGGTGCTGAAATATAAAATCGTGCGGCGCCGCGGCGAGGAAAAACAACTTTTCTTCACTGCCAGTTGTAGGTATTTGGAGTGTGAGCGCCGGGCTAGTCCAGGACCACCGCTCTGGAGCTGCCATCCACCACACTTATTTTGTGCCGGATCAATCACTGCATACTATCAAACGAAGGCCTAACGGTTGGCAGAGGGCTGGCACTGACCGCAATCCGACATAATATGATTTAATAAGGTCAGCGTGACGTCATCGGATGCTCACGGTGCACGCCTGCAGGTGCACAGACTGCGGCTGTGGTTTATGAGCCATTGCAGATAGTTTTGCGAGTCCTGCGTTCCCAGTTTACTCCTCTCGAACCTGTCTTGAAGCTATGCACAGGGGTTCTGTCATCCCATCAATGACATAAATAGAGTGCGAGGAAACGGCCCGACCCGAAAAAATAGCACATCGATTGGCCACAGGCTGCCCCGCCACGAACCGGCACAAGCCCTTGCGGAGCTAAGCAGCCATAACTTCTAGCAAATCCCAAGGTGCGGCCGGCCGCTGCCGCTGCAGAGACGCGGCGCAGGGAGCGGCGGCCGCAGCAGCCGGCAGCGTACGCTCCCGCGCCCGGCGGCCGCCGCAACAGGCCGCAGCAGCAGGCGGCGTACGCTCCCGCGCCCGGCGGCCGCCGCAGCAGGCCGCAGCCGCACCTCCGCTGCTCTGGGTCGGCCCCCGGGCAGGCCCCGGCACCCTCCAAACCGCTCAGGTCGCTCTGCCGTAACAGGTGCGAGGCACATGACTCACGTGGCCCGAGCGCTGCGACGGACGGGCCTGTGAGTCACGCAGGACACCACTTGCCGGCGCCCACGCCGACAGCTACGTGATTTACACCGCACCGCGTTTGCACCGCTCGGTGTTTCATTCATCGGTATTGCCCTCCTATCAGCAGGCTGTCGGGCGCGGACCTCACACGCGGTCGTGCATGAAACAGAAGCATTCCACGCATCAAGTTGATGGATGGCTTCATGTATTCAGAGTTTCACACCATGACGGGTAAATCTTGCGACCTGTCAGTCCTACTGTCAAAGGTTGGAACGCTCTCGTAATTGTCCTTAAAACTGAACAGCAGAAGGAGACAGCACTGACAGAAACCGTACTCGAACTTTCGGCTTTCGCCCATTTTCCGGTCCAGGTTTGGGGGAGGGGGAGCGAGCAAGCTGATTTCATGGCAGCACTGGCCCAGCTGGCTAAAGTCGGGTGGGTGTCGCCGTCGAGCCTGCCTGCTCACTCCTCTCCCTTCCCCACCCATTCTTCACCGCAAACCCTGACCTTGAGCCGTCCTAGAAAACCCGTCGTCGACAATTTTTGCCAATCGTCTCTTCTCATCTCGCCTTCCAGTTTGTGGTCAGTCCGTGTATCAGTTCATCAGTTTATCTCTGAGTCTTTGCAGTTTGGGACTTGCCAGCCACCAGACACCCCCATCAAGATCCGTCCACGAGACCCACTAATACGTCCACATCGGTT